GGAGCGCCTGCTGGCTCTAGGAGGGAACAGATAGTGGGCTCCTGCTGGCTCTAGGAGGGAACAGAGAGGGGGCTCCTGCTGGCTCTAGGAGGGAACAGAGAGGGAGCTCCTGGAGTCCGGGCTTGGGCAGTAAAGCTGGGACCCTCCTGGGGGCCACCGAGAATGGCAGGAGGGCAGGGAGGGACACGCCTTGTTTGTGGGCCGTTCCTGGGGCTTTCTGCTGCTGGGCTGAAGGCTGCCTTGGAGCCCTGTGGGGAAGAAGTGGGAGGAAGAAGGCAGGGGGTGCCTGTGACCAGGTGTGCTCTCTGAGGCCTCAGCCGTCACCTCGGGCCGCCTCTGCACGGGAGCCCTCACCTGCTTCATCCGCTCACAGTAGCTCTGGGCTTTTGCAAAGTCGGAAACCCTCCCTCTGCAGCCTTCAAGAGCAGCAGGAGAAGCACCTGCGTGGGGCTGGCCTGCGACGTGGTTAAAGTGGCTGCGTCCCACATGGCTGGCCGCACAGCTCGAGTCGCAGAGCCGGTGGCTTGAGAAACACGCCAGGTGCTGTACGTGCCCGAAATCCCCAACGGGAATGGAGAAGAAGGGGTGATGACGTGGCCTCCTCCCTGGGGGTGCCTCCTCGCCGTCTTCTCTGGTGAGCACATGCGCCCTGCAGCACGCAAGGAGGAGAAGCAGCATGTGCGAATGTAAAATGTCACTGTCAAGAAAGATCTTATGAAAAAATGTTAGGACTAGGCAGTGTGTTTACTCCATTGTAACTTCCTTACATTCCGGCGTCACATAAGCTTCGCTTCTTTTTCTTTAGAGAAAGTTTTGCTATAGGGCGTGTGTGCTCACCAGAGAGACAGAGACAGAAAACGAGAAATCACGTCCCAGGGGGATAGCCATGCTGTAATTCCTTCTCCATTCTGTTGGGTTTTGGGGCATGAATACCGCACATGTGCCTGGCCTGAGTTTCAAGCCATCCGGTCCAGGACTACAGTTGACTACGTGAGAGTCCAGCGATGTAACCACTATGCCATCTGCTGGCCCTGAGCTTTGCGTCTTGTGACAGCCAGTAAAAGGGGG